AGATCACTAAAGTACTTACAGAATGTGATATTCGAGATGGTCAAACATTTCAATTTTGGAATGTTTGCAGAGCCTTCACGGAGAATGTTGCTGCTTTCAAATTTTCTTGAAAAAGTACTTTTACTGCCTTTGGTGGGGTATGAAGAATCTAAGGTATGCTTGGGTTTGATCTGAAAATGTCCTTTACGCTTTTTTGTCCGAATTTAATTGTCCTTTATTAGTGCAGATATCGTAATTTACCTCCCTCTTCCCCTCTCTATTCTCCGGTTGCAAAGCTATACAATTGCAGTAATTTTTTCCTGAACTTCCTTTCTAGATTCTCAGTTTGGTAGATGAGATGGTCCTTTTTAATGTAACTAACGTGCACTTTACACGTTTTGTGAAGAATATATAGTCTCCTTTTCCTTTCTTCCCCTATTAATATCCATTGCTTTTCTCATTAGTAAACTCCAGTTACCACCTTTTGTTTCTCTCCAAACTCAGTTATACATCCCATGAACAGTTTTTGTTGTAGAAAAAAGAAGGGATAGGTTGGGTCAAGCCAAGGCTGATAGAAATGTATTCTTGCTTACATAAATTGTATAAATAAATTATAACTACTGGAAGCAAGATACTACAGATACCAGTAAAATGTTTTGTGATTCTAATATGATTTAATTTAATGTTGTAAATATTTTGTATTGTATTGCAAGGGACAACTATTATTAAATGAGAGTTTCAATATGTTTGGAATTATATTTTGGTTGCAAGTTAGCAAACCCAAAAATGATTAAAGTTTGTGAAAATATTCCAGTAAATTTTCCTTCATAATATTACATTATTTTTCTTACTGACAATTTTCCCATGTATTTTTTGGAGCTTCTGCCATTCGAAGTTCCATGTTGCCCAGTTTTTGCTTCATTTCTGGTAAATCATGTTGGAAACCTTGCAACAGATGTTTATTTTGGTTTCTTACTTGCCCCTCCACTCATGTTGCTAAATGCATTTTTTTACTTAGCAAAAATCAATGGGATGAATTGGTTCTCTTTTTCCCTTGATCCCTCACTAACTTGCTTGTGATATGTAATAGTCCATATTGTTGAAAATGTCATTTCCAATATTATTGCTAAATACAATTTTCACCCTCAATTCATGACTTTCAAGTTCATACTGGACAGAGTTTTGAAACACAAGCCTTTATGTTTGGTGAAGCCCGCTATTTAGCATCTTAATTTGTTGTTGCGGGTTAGTTTTGTTCGCCACTTATTGGCAACGATGGCAAGGTACTATCTAGTATGCCTTTCTGTACCACCATAACTTTGATATGAATTGAGTTTGATTTCTGCCATGAAGCCTTACGCCAGATGCAAACCATGTGAGAAATTACAATATTATAGTGACAGGTGTTCTGAAAATTCTCCTTGTACGAAAATAACTAGGATGAAACCAAAAAAATTCGCAACCAAATAATTAACTTCTCAAACTAGAAGTAAGGTTTAAAGAAAATTGCATTTTTTCAAGTTTGCCTTGTGATTTCTTTTGTGGAATAGAAAAAGTGGGGATAGCTTACTTTAAAACAAGTTGCTCTTGCTAAGTTTCGGATGTTTCTTTGCTCGTGACATTGTGTGATTGAAGAAGGTGAAAGTATTTGGATTTTGTTTTATTTTTTAATATATATTTTATGTTATGTGAAGACCCTATCTGGCTTCTACAAACAGCAATGACTTAAGAATGAGGTGAAACGAAGAGATACAGAGGAAATGGATGAAGGCACCGACAATTACCTCCAGATCTTCAAGAACC